GTGCGTTGTTCGTTATGGTGTGTGCTCTTACTTTTTGTAAGAATTTTTGTGATTAACACTATCATTGACCCCAAAGGGTCAATGAAAAAATGACAATTTTGAGTGTGTGTGTAATAACACAAAAAGCATGATTAATGATGTCTAACTAGGTAAGCAGTGTTTTTTTATTACTATGTTATTACAATGTTAAAGAGGTACGGGTGTACTGTATACAGTATGGCAAACGAGAAAAACAACATAAAATGTGTAAAATTCACTTCATATCAGCAAAGCTTAGAAAGGACACATCATCCATATAAAAGCTAAAAAAAGTCATGTTTGGTCCTTGAAACTTTAACAATGATTAATACTTTAATACAAAAGTAATGCTGGGAGAGTCATCGTTAAATGTAAGTAAAGATCAATGTGCCAACCTTGCAAACTCTATTGCTTTAAATGTATTTGTTTGGTCTCCAAGTTTCTGGTCTATTTTTGAGGCAGCATCAATCATCTCTTTTTTGGACTTGTATTGATTCAATTTGAATTCAAAAGATGGGTTGACTGCATATTGTATAATGCTCACCTGAAACAAAAAACAGTGAAAATTACTCTATAACCACTTTGGTGGTCTGGTAAATTCAGGAATCAGAGAAAATGCATGTAATGAAATTTCATTTTCTTTTGAGAAATTATTACAAGGTAACCAACTAAAAAAAAGGAAGAAACACTGCCCTTTTACAGGTACTGTATAAGACATACACGAAGTTGCCTACGTATATTTTGTGGATAAATATTTAAATGATAAACATACCGTACGTTTTGCCAGGGATATGCATTACCTGACATCAATATTCTCTTTGAACCATTTTGATTCATCCACAAAATAACATGATGTGAAACTGCCAACTAGTAATGATTCAGTGAAGGTTACAGTGTCAAACACAAATTCAAAACATTTGTTTTCTTAGGTACAGTTGTGTTATTTAATCTACATATTGAAAACTAGGCGAAAGCACTAACCTGGGCATCATTTGGACCAATGTTTAAGTTCTGTATTAGGTTCTTAAGAAAATTCTGGATAGGAGGCCAAGGCCAAATGCTGTTGGACCCATCTAAAACAATTGCTATATCCATTGGACCTCCACACTCTGGAAAACACAATGAAAATAATTAAATCAGCTTTTGGGAAGCTGACTTTAAATGTATTGAATGGTTAATAACACCTCAGTCAGTATGAGCCAATGAATTCATTAATTAATGTCCACATGCTTACATTTCATTTCCAACTTTGAGCTTTACATAGACACGATACATTTTAAATAAAAAAAAACTCTCTTCAAGTCTGGTAGTCAAAGAAAAATATTTTTCTTCAAAAATGCTTCTGAACAAGTTCCAATTTCTGGGGAAGGTCTGGTCTGTTTTGTTATGAATTTCTTTGATGGAAATTTAAAACTGGAAATGATATCTGGTAGTTTTTCAAAAAGTAAAAAAACACACATAAATGGAGTTTGAAATTAATCTTACGCTGAAGTGCAGGAGAGAAGCTCTGAGGCTTGAAGTTGGGATCTAAATAAGAGCAGATTCCAGGGGCAAAGTACTGACTTCCACACTGTTGAGCCCACAGTGGGCCGCATGTCTGAATTGCAAAGGAAAACAAGTAAGGTGAGAGACAAAACATTGAAAAAGGCATGCCTACAGTTTAGAATGTAAACAAATAAAGATCTGTAAGTTAAAAATGAAGTCATTCATGTATTAAAATGCTTCTAGGTGAGCCTAGTGTTTTCAATAACACATTCTTAATTGTTTGTCTTTTAAAAGAATAACAAAACATTTCCTACAACAAATAAAATTATATTGAACTAATTATTGAACTATTTCAAAGGAGACAATGAGGGGCATCCCAGGTGATGTGCCCAAGCGCAGACTACAATCACTAGAATGAGTCTGGGTCATGTCACTAGCCTGCTGTGACCGTTACTCTTCAAGTGGTGGTTCACAATGGACTGAGCACCTCTAAGGGTACATAGGAATTATTTGCACATGGTTCTCTTGGTTCTCTGTGACCTCTGTGGCACAAGCCTGAGGCACATGCCTGCTCTCCAATCAGTGTTAAACCTCTGGTACAAGGCTGTGGGTGCCAATGATGTGTTATAAGAAGAGTGGATCGAAAAAGGGCAAGTCATGGCTATTGCAAATTTGGAGTGTATAATAAAAATGCGATTGATACTTCTAAATTTTAAAACATATTTACTTTACCAATAATTTCCCTGTTTTTTCCTTTCGAGCAAGAGTGAGTCCAAGGCTCATGTTGGTTTTTATTTCTGTAACTACTGGGATTGATACTTGATCTGAAAAAAGAAGCATAACTTTATACAAAGACAAATAACAAATTAACGTTTCCACAATGACTTACCTATTTTACCTACGGTGCTATTTTTTCTCAGTGAGGTTTATTATCATTGGTATTAAATACACAGAAAAACAAATGGTCTTCCATCTAAACATAGTCTCATGTTTTAAAACTAATCCAACCAGCATTGTGCCATCAAAAGCGGAAGAGAAATTTCCACTACAATGTTGATCCATTGAAATGTTGAAATGCAATGGTATTACAGAAATCTTTTGGAAACAACTAAATTTACAAGATTATCTACATCTTGTTAGGATCCCTGCCTCTCGGCAACGAAAGAGGGAGAAGAAGGCGTAGCCTTAGTTCATCAGTCCACCTATCACTGTACGCGTTCACCACCACACCTCCGTCTCATCTGGTATTTAAGCACTAGTCTTTCCCTACCTCCTCGCTCAGTATTGGTTTCCCGTTCGAGCTTCTTAGTTGCGCTACGCCTTCAAACTCCTCGTACTGTTCTGGTTCCGACTTCGGTTTTTCCCCTTTTACTACGTCTATTGGATTACAGCTCGGCTTCGGTTACTTTCTCCTAGTTTGGGTCTCTGGCTTCCCCTGGATTCTCGGCTCTCTCCTTCGTCTACGGTTTTGGATTACGGTCTGGCTTTGGCTATTCTCTCTCAGTTTGGATCACTGGCTTCCCTTGGACTCTCGGCTCTCTCCTTCAGCTACGGTATTAGGATCATGACTCGTCTCTGTCGGCTCCTGCAAGTGGGTTCACTACTTAGTTTCGGTTTCACTGGCCGAATCCGTAACACATCTACTTGCTGAGCAGTAGCAGTATTTAGGGTGGTGAGCAATATATCAAGAACATCTCTGGGTCATGCCAAGTCAAATCATGGCATTTAGAAGCCTTTGTCACTGTAAAATGAAAGAAATCACTTTGGAACAAACACCTCCCTAGGCGTTTGAAAACTCTGTAGAAAAAGTTGTCATTTTGGATTTTGTGAAACATTTCTCAAATCCTAAAGCATCGATGTGTGCAAATGTATTTTTAACCAATCAGAAACGCAACTTTACCCTGTAAGTTTAGTCTGTCACAGTTTGTTCTGGATCCAGACAAAGGACACTTATAAATATCACCCATCCTGTTCTGTCCTCCACTCCATGGGGATCCAACCAATATCCTGGAAAAATAAATACATAATACCACAGTGTGAGGTTAACAAAATGACCACCAGTATGTAGCGAACAGAGCTTTGCTGCCTGTACATTGTATATGGCAGATAAAGAAAATTGCAGCAACAGTTCTAAACTAAAGTTATGATGTGAAGGCTCCTCCACTGGATTGCTCTAAGCTCCCAGAAGGAGGCAAAGCCCCTAGTTTACCAGGGAAACATTCAGTTCTGCCACCTGTTTTCCTTTGCCTCCCTTCTGCCTACCCACATGGGGTGGGGCAGCATCATGCAGTTACAGGGCCAGCCACTCCTGCCCCCGAGTGTTCCCCTGACAAATGGCAAGTGGGGAAGAGGTGACTGCTACTATACCTCTCAATTAAAAATATATTTTTAAAATTCCAGCAAAAATTAAAATGAACTCTTTGGTATGTTTGTTTTATCATTGCAATTTATGACAAATATTTCTTCTACATGCTTCTGTGAAAATGAATTTACTTGCAGATCGAGGCCAAACCTGTCGTTCTGCATTGTTATGTTATTGCTAAAAAAAGCATTCTAAATACTTCTTTGATAGTTAAAACCCCTTAATATCAATTATCTGTTTTGCTATTGGCTCCCAATAATGTTCACATCCTGCAAATCTTTCATATCTGGAAACAGAATCATAAGATAGAATTTATCTATGATGACCAAAACACATAATTATTGCTATAAATCATCACCCATATTCATTCACAGTTGGACTATCTTAGCATGAGTAATAAAAACTAAACACACGAAGAGGTGTTAGTGGGACCAGCAGGGGGCGCTCACCCTGCGGTTCATGTGGGTCCTAATGCCCCAGTATAGTGACTGGGACACTATACTGTAAACAAGTGCCGTCCTCCAGATGAGATGTAAAACCGAGGTCCTGACTCTCTGTGGTAATTAAAAATCCCAGTTTGTTTCTCAAAAAGAGTAGGGGTGTAACCCTGGTGTCCTGGCCAAATTTCCCATTGGCCCTTATCAATCATGGCCTCCTAATAATCCCCATCTACGAATTGGCTTCATTACTCTGCTCTCCTCCCCACTAATAGCTGATGTGTGGTGAGCGTTCTGGCGCACCATGGCTGCCGTCGCATCAGCCACATTGGTGGTGGTGGAGGGGAGTCCCCAATACCTGTAAAGCGCTTTGAGTGGAGTGTCCAGAAAAGGGCTATATAAGTGTAAGCAATTATTAATTATTATTATTATTAATAATGCTGCTTTCATAGTCTGCCTTGCATTGTGACCACTGTATTCAAAACCATTGAAAAATGTAAAGACAAATGCTTCAGAAACGTGAAAATTGTACCCATTTTTACAGTATTCTTAGGTGAAGCACTTGTTTTTCTATGCTGTAGCTCTGATTAACATAGACAAGTCAATTCTCTGTTCTTTTCCAACTACAGCATGCCACAAAATTGTTGTGACCACATATAGCACATTGTACAGTACCTTATACTTAATTATCTATTAGGTCTGCATGCTGTTTATGAATACATTGTTACAATGATAATTTATGAAAAAATACGGTTTATGCTAATAACATTCTAAACTTCTAATCACATTTATAATTAAGTGCTCACAAGTATGTTAATGGCTATATCAGAGTCTTTAAAGACAACCTTGTTTTTTCTGATAAAAAAGTATAAAAAACTAAACTTTGCTATAAGAATTATCAATATACAATATATGCAATACCGTACTACATTGTGTAATATAGAGTTTACAGTACAAGTTAAGTAAATTAGTCATGATTTGCTTTTTGGGAGTAAATTCTACAGTGTTTATACAGTACATACAAACTTGTTTTACTGTATTGTGATTGTTTTTCTTTTTCAAAGGCTGGTTTAATTTTAGAAAACTGATATAATCCTCTTGATTACATGTATCTCGGTAAAAAAAAATTGTTTTAGTTCTAATTTTAGATCTGCTTAATCTACTCATTTCCAGTGCTTTTCAAAACAATACATTTACTTTTCTGGGTGACATCAATGAAATAAAAAAATAAATGCTTCTATCCTCACAGTAATAATAAACATTTTCCAAAATTGCATTTGTCTAAATAAATGAAAATTTAATCACTGTTGTTTTGAACTAAAACAGTAATCAAGGAAACACTGACATCATACAATGTTAATAACAATGAAACCAGATATTCTAAATAAACAAAGAAACTATTTAAGGTAAATTATTAAAGGTGAATTATGACCACTTTCTCCTGATTTGTAATTCTAAGAAAAGGATGTCCAGGTTCTGTGTTGTATTTTAAATTCTGTTCAGTATCATAAAAATAATATAAATGCATTGTTGCCTTAGACTACACATCTTAGAACTAATTACTACATCATAAAATAGTCATGGTCAAAATTAATATAAAGGACTGGTATAATTACATGATAAAAAGAGAAAAATGAGAAGTTATTAAAAAAATATTTTGAAAAAAGAACTAAACTCACGGGATAATCAACTTCTGCTTGCTGAACAGTATTTAGGGTGGCAAGCAAAACAACATGAACATCCCTGGGTCATGCCAGGACAAATGGATGACATTTAAAAGCATTTACAGACCTACAGGATTATGTGCTTTGAACAACAAGTCTTCTGAAGTTAAATTACACTTTCTTGATAAAGGTGCCTGCAGAGAACTACTGTAGCACAGGTAAGCAGAAGTCTTTTTGGCAAACAAGGATAAAATTAGGTGAACACATATAACACATATACCAAATTCATGGAATTTCCATGAATTATACAAAGAAACACATAAGGAAGTAAAAAAAGACACTTCCAGGAAATTCTTAGGGGTATTTACTGAATAAAGTGTCCAGACAGGAGACGTGTAATTTCATGAGTAATCCATTCCGCTCCTCTAAGAGTAAACATTACAGAACTGCATGTACCAATGAGTATCATTCCTGTCTGGATAAGAAAAGTGTAATGTATCATATATCCTCTATAATAATGTAAACCCTATTCATAGTAAGCTGTATCTGCAGGAAGCATGCTTCACTTAGACATTGGTCATAGAGGATGTTTGTTATGCGAAGGAATGGAAAGGGGACACTATAGAGATACTGTATCCTATTCAATGTTTTTTTAAAGATAGAAAGTTAATGAGTCATTAAACCATTATCTGAAGAAGAAATTCTGTGGTTACAATAAAAATAAATGATTAGGAAAATGTTTCTATAATGAAAACTAATTGGAATGACAATTTTGCAACAGTTTAAATATATATTTTCATGATTACCAAAGGTTCTTAAATATCTTATACAGTATTTACTTTTTTAAGATTACTTTGACTTTACAGCAATAAAATGTCATCTACACAAGAAATAAAAGTAGGGTAAAACCTGCTCTAATGATAAGACTGCGTTTAAAACTAAAAATCATAAAACAAAAAAATAATTTAAATGCAGCACAGAGCATGAAGGATTGCATTCAATCTAGAACTGACTCCCAATGTTAAAATGCACACAGAAATTATTTGAATGTGACAATTATTGTTGGATTAAACTGAAGATAGTATTGGTCTCATAATTAGTTTTTATTGATGAACTTTTCTTCATGTGCTGTGTGAGCATTGTGGGCAGATATGTGTGTGAAAATTAAATAACAAAAGAACAAAAAGGATGGAGCACACTGGTCATGAAATCCAGATGGTAGAACTGTGTATGTATGAAAATTGTACAGTACAGTTCAAAGGTCTATTTTTTCTTGGGACTGGGAAACAAAGACGCTCACAGTATGCAGGATGTACTAAAGGAAGTTGTCAATAACAGAGGCCCCCCATCTCTGAGTCATTCCTAACCTTACAAATACCATATATTTCAACAGGAAATGACTCATTAAATAAAAGAAAGGACTTTGACCGGTGTACTCCCCTTTAAAACGGCATAAAGGTTAACATAACTTGAAGATAAAGCTGATTCCATTAGGAGTTGTGATTCCATCACAGTTTTTAAGTTGTTTTATTCAATTTAGATGGTACTGTATATACAGTAGGGTGGCCTTAAGCCAGAGTATAATGAATATAATATAATGTCCTTAACATACAATAATTTAGTATATCCAGTATGTTGTAAAAGTAACAAGCCCTTACTTCAAAGCTTGCAGTCATGATGCCATGAAGTAGCAATTACTGTTACATGCACAATCTACTCCCCAGTTCTCAAGCAAAAAAAATAGGTACATTATTATATGATTAATATGAAAGAAAAACAGAAAAGTCATGATTGCATATCAAACCCTTTAGCAATCTTGAATTAATTGAAGTGTTGGAAAATAACATTTGAAAGCCTCACAAATAGTTGAGTGGCTTCTCTGTGTGAAATAAAACTGGTTCCCATGATTTTGGAATAAATCAGATCCTCAGGCAGGTAGTGAATTTCAAGTAAAGATTCAACCACAAACAAAATTCATCTTTGCAGAACAATGATCCAAAACTACTACTCAATTTTTGTGAGTGGCCAGTCAAAAGTCCTGACTGGAATCCTTTTGGTAATCTGTGGAAAGATTTGAAAACTGCTGATAAGAAGAGATCCCCAAGAGATGCCTTGAGCAAATCTGCCAAGAATAATGGGCAACAATTACACCAAGCCAGTGTGCAAAGGTGTGAGAAAACGACCCCAAAACAACTGTGGCTGTAATTACTGCCAAAGGTGTTTCCACCTAATTCACTTCCGTCAAGTTTACGGTCTGAATACTTATTATGTATTTCAGATTTTTGTTTTTAGTTTTTGCTGTAATTTAAGGTTACTTATCTTGTCCTTAGATGTCTTACGTCTGAGCTTTCAGGTTTTGAATAAATTTAGGTTAAAAAATTTTATTTATTGTTTTTTGATTTCACAAAATGAGAAACCTTTGGAAGTGTCCAAATAATAATAAATTATTATTAGCCATGGTGCGCAAGAACACTCACCTATTAGTGGGGAGGAGAGCAGAGTAATGAAGCCAATTCATAGATGGAGATTATTAGGAGGAAATCATCGGTAAGGGCCAATGGGAAATTTGGCCAGGACGCCGGGGTTACACCCCTACTCTTTTCGAGAAACGCTCTGGAATTTTTAATTACCACAGAGAGTCAGGACCTCAGTTTTACAGCTCATCCGAAGGACGGTGCTTGTTTACAGTATAGTGTCCCTGTCACTATACTGGGGCATATAGGTGAGCACCCTCTGCTGGCTCCACTAACACCTCTTCCAGCAGTGACCTTAGTTTTTCCCAGAAGGGCTCCCATCCAGGTACTGACCAGGTTCACACCTGCTTAGCAGCAGTGGGTTGCCAGTTGTGAGTTGCAGAGTGATATGGCTGCTGGCTTTTATGAAGTATTTTGTAATAAAATCTCTTCATGATGTTTTTGTACAAAAACCTGTGTGTTTTAGGAGTTTTAGCATAAATGTTTTAGCATTTAGAAGACTGCAGGAATTATTAACTGATTGAAACAGTGTTAATGAGACAGAGCTCCAAAGCCAAGATTAATGCTAATACCTTCATTCCAGCTCATCAAAGTTTCAATGTTTTACTGTATGCAGATTGTTTAAGCATGCATTAATACATTTCTAACTTATATTGATCTATTTTTAATTTATATAGGTTTGGGGAGGCCAGTTTCAAGCTTACCTGTTTAATAAATACTTAATTGTCCACTGCTGTGGAAATATGTCTTCCACAGAAGTACAAAACACACAAGCAAAACATAAGAGTCACATAAAATCACAACAGTATGTGATAAATAAATAAATGGATTCATAAATAGGTAGTGGGGGATTATATTTACATACCTTCATTGAATAGTGTTATTGCAGAAGGGACTTCTTATAAACATTTTTATTTGAATACCCTATACCATCTTCCTGAATTAAGAATGGAGTGGGTGTGTGGTCAGCTGTAATGTTTCTTGCCATTCTGAGGACTGCATTATGATATAAACTGCAGAGCTGGGACTGCTGTTTCCCAATTATTTTTCCTGCTATATAAAATCAGTTGTATATAAAAAATTAGTTGTATATAAGTCACATATTAAATGTCCAAATTTACAACTATAAGCACATTCACTCCTTCGAGCTCTCCTACCTCAAGCCGTATCTTGTCAAAAATGCTGTGGCAGCACATTTTTCAAATATTTGCTCTGCTCTTTCTGTTTTGTAATTAGACTTCTTCACTAGGCTTGACTTATGTTTTTTGCTTTCTTTGTATTAACTAAAGCTTATATGGTTATCAAATATAGAGAAGAAAACTTGAAAGTCATCAAAACAGGATCCTTTAAATTATTTCCAAGAAACAGAATGTTGTTTTCAGATAACAGGAGTGTTTTTAAAATTAAAATTCTGAAATGCATCCCTTTCCATGGTAACAGAGTGGGGTGTTTCTTTGACCAGATCCTCAACATTTCTGGGTATATACTACAGAGCCAACGCCAGCGAATTCACACAAATAAACGTTTGGACAAACCTTTTAAAGAAATTCTTAATACCACCATTGAAAAGCAAAACATATATAGAACATTATTTAAAACAATGTACCTCTGATAATATCCCATACGCTAATCTTAATCCTAACTGTACTTTAGTCCAAAATGACTGTAACATAAATACAGTCTCGGCCTAACAATATCCCTTTTCTTAACTGAGACTCTACTACCAGACCTTGTCAGAATACAATCCTAATCCTTAATCCTAGTTTGAACCCTGAATCTAACTAACTCTTGCTTTATCCCCAGCTGTAAACCTCATTTTAACCTTGAACATAATTCCTGCAATAAACTAAACCTTACATTAAGCCATGAACAACCCTAAACCCTTAAGCAACATACTCTAATTCTAACTACAGCCCCAAATCCTACTTTACTTTTAAAAGAAATGTTTCAAATAATGTAGACTTTAGACTTTCAACTACCCTGAAAGTAAACCATTTATCTACAAACATCTTAGGGATTTTTCTTGAAGTTTTATTCATGGGGACTACAATACTGACAGCATTCAAAAACAAACTTAGAGCAGGTTATATTTTAGGTATCTCAGACACAACTGAGTTTGGTTTATTACACAATTTGTGGAATATTTTAAAGCCATAGCAGCAACCATGCAGAAGTCATAAACTAAAATAGTGTTTAAAAAGGCCCAGGTTTTGCATCTGTGGGTAAATTTCAAATTATATTGATATTAAAAAGTTAAAAAATGAGACAAACACAAAGTTAATGATTTAAGTTAACAGATACTGTATGATAAAAGGTAAATCTGCTCATCCAAAACTAACCATTTGCTTAAGTTACTCATCCTTATATATGGTCAGAGTATATTTTTCTCAACAGTTGGAGTTATATCAAATAATAAAGGAAGATATTTGATATCACACTTAATTAAAATTATTCCTTACTAAAACAGTTAAATGACCATTTGATTAAAAAGAAAGATGTAAAAGATCTGCAAGGACAAAAACACCTTACCATTTCCCACTAGAATCTTTGAATTGTTGCACAGCATACCCAAACTGTTCAGATCTTGCTCCAGAAAATACTCTTGCACCTGACAGTCCAATGTTAAAAGTATTTGAGTAATAAATATTGGAACCTGCAAACAAGAAAACCAAAGAAATATAGTTCAAATTGACTCAAAACACGTAATCAGTGTAACCACTCCAACATTCTCGCTATCAGTAGAATCATTAAAAAAACGTGGCCAAGAGCTGCTTAATATCTCCATTTACTGGAATATAATCATGAGAGTCCATCTGCTGTTTCTATGAAAAAGGATGTGGTTTTAACTTGAAATGTGAAAATCCACCCTAGTTGGTAAAATAAATAAAGAATGTGTGATCTGCAGTTGGAGCATGTTGCTACTTGCTTTCAATTCTACCTCAGTGACTTTACAATGACATGCACTGTTCCTCTAAACACAAAATTCAAAATCTGTTCATGTTACAGCTTGTGGTTAAAAAAAATACGGTACTTTTTATAAGGATCTCAGTGGCAGGCATATCACAACTGGCAACTCACTGCAGCTAAGCAGGTGTGAGTCTGGTCAGTAGATGGAAGAGGTGTCAGTGGGGCCAGCAGGGCTGTCACCCTGCAGTCTGTGTGGGTCCTAATGCCCCAATATAGTGATGGGACACTATACCGTTGCAATGCTCTGTGGAAAACGAAGGGCATGACAAGGCACAGAAAAGCATCATGACCATCCACTGCAACCAAGGAAGTCTCCAGTTGCGATGACTACTCGACCCACTGGACCCAGGCTTCTGAGGTCAAGACAGCGAGACTGCCCCAGTGCAATGACTTTCCTACTTCAAAAAGGTCTCCTGCAAAGGTTTCTTCGTGCAGCTCACCTTCTGAGCAGATTTTCCTTTTATATTCCTTAGAAGTTCCCCATTACTATCTTGAATACATGTTACTTCATTCAGTTCTTGCACTACCTAAATACAAAAAATATATTCTAAATGCCGCCTCAATTGTAATATTCATTTCTATTTCTCTCCTGGCCTATCCTTACAATTTATTATATTCATTTTTGTTAAATGGATTATGTTCTTTTTTAATCATTCTATAAAGTGCTTTTTTTCTTATATTTTTCTTGATTTTTTGTACTTCACAAACATATCTAAACTGAAATTCTTTGACATACAAATTAAAGTGTAATTTGTTTATCGGGTTGCATTCATTCTTGCTAATTGAGCTTTACTCTAGAAAAAATATTAAGAAATAACAAATGCAGTTGGAGTACTATGACATGAGAATAATACAAGTTTGGCATGGTACAAGACACCTGTTTGAAGGTTGTTCTTTAATGTCAAACTTGGAAAAATAAAAAAGCTTGTATATATTACCATCATCATTATTATTATAATCCTTTTGGTGGCACACAGTGGCTCTGTAGCACTTCCTCTACAAATACAAGAACACTTACTACTTTGGCTTTAAAAAACTTTAAATATCTGTATGTTAGATCTAAGATTATTATTAAATCTACATTATTACCACTTATGTTTTTTTTTTAATACAAAAAAAAAAGTCACCCTCAAGCCTAACACCTCTGTGGTGGGTTATGCTACAGTCCTGAGAGTGAGGAAGTGTGCCATTATTGTCACTCATAAACACATGCTTAGATACAGTCATAATCTATGCAATTGTCAGACAGTGACTGCATCTGTGGGCAGTATATTCACATGGAGATCAAAAACTGGCACCAATTGCAACAGCAACATCTCATAATTATAATAAAACTATAAATCTTATAGATATTATTGGCATGTGCTTACAGCCCAACTGAAAATCAGTAGACTTTATCTAGTAATAATAATACCTAAGAATTAAGTGTATTGAAAGGTTTAAAGAGTGTTTTAGTCATAGTAAATTTGACTTAACCTACCCCTAAACTCCTAACCAAACCCCTGGCCTTCCGACAAGGAAGCTGGACCCCCATAAAGAGAGGAGTGACCAGCAGGGCAGCTGCAGAGATGGAGATGGGGTGGACAAGGGATGCAAAGGACATATGCAAGGAAAAGAAGTGGATACACATAGTATTTGTTGATGTCATTTATGTGAGATTATGACATCAGGAATGATTACAAATTACTGACAGCTTAGGCTAATTGAACTTGGCTGTTTTCAGCGTTTCTGAAGATTAATTATAAACTCCATTTACTTACATATTACACTCATGTGTTTTAACATCCATTGCTATTTTTAGCTACTTTGGACTGCAGCTATATATACAGTAAATGTGTAAATTTTATTTTATTCCAACTGCTACGTTACAAAACTGCAGCATACTGTATCAGCCATCACCTGATCTATCTTTATAATATTGTTAATATAAATATAAAATCTGTATTTTAAAAATATTTTTTCAGGGTACTACAAAAGACAGAGTGCAGGTATTTTATTTATACTTTGTTAAGCCTTGCTATAAAGGACAAAACCGCTGTCTATGGTTGTTAACATAAACTGTATACATGCAATAAGCAGAATAAAAAGTCTACACTTCTAGTATTATTAAATCGCAAGAGAAAAATCATATTAATTTCCATAATTACTTGTAACTAGTTTCATTTGATGGTTCAGAACCCAAGGTCCCAGCTGATGACTTACTGAAAAATATCCAATATATGTGTGATAACATACTGTAGACATGCATTAAGTATTTGTTACTAAAAAAAGTTAATCTGATAGGAAATATTTATACATTTTTAGTCTGTGACATGTTAAGTACTACTATGTTAAAAATGTATGCTTCATTTAATATACAAGCAATGTTAGGTGTTTGTCATGTTACAAAAAAGACACTCTGAAGTTTATGTATAAGGCACTAAGAGATTATTCTGACAGGTGAGAAAATATAATATCTTATTAAATTGTATTTGTCATAGAGAGGAAAATTCACTTTTGGATAAGCTGCTAAAAACATCTCATTAACATGTACACATTTAAATCAGACATTTAAGTTTCTTTTCATCAATACTTCAAAATGTGATACTGTACAGTAGGTGCATCAGAAAGAAAACAGAGTGTATTCTACTGACGTAAACTGCCAGGCTGGTCTGATTAAAATCCCACTCATGCCTAGTCAGTGAGTTTCCTGATCGTAACCATAGAGACCTGGATTCCAGAATGGGTTGGTACAGAGACTAACAAAGAAGACCTTTAACTGAGTTTGAATGAATATGACAACACTAGGAAGCAAAGAGTAAGCCTTCCCCACTGATTTTTACATTCCCGTCAATTATCTGCCTCGGTGCAGTTCCACTGTACTGCCAGCTTTGTAGATATTAATCTACAATGAACCATTAATGCATCCATGTTCGACATTATCTTGTTTTTTTTACCAGATTTACTTAAATCTGATAGGACTTTACACTGGTCACAAGTTTAATACGTTTTCATTAAAGACCAGGACCCTCGCTGTTTTTGCAGTACTATTTTGTACATTGCTGGGAAAACAAGTGACTTGTTTTAAGGCATTATTATTTTGAACTGAAAACAAGGTGTGGAAATTGATTTTAAAGAAGTGATGTATTACATTATATACTTTTATAATTTATACACACCATATGCATAGATAATTGTTTTAAAATTTCCCCCAACTTTTGATTATTTAAATTTTTAAATTATCACACAGGAACAAAAGCTGGGAAATTGCAATCATTTAGTCTGTGCACTCATATTATAGTTAGTTTAATACTATATAGCTGACAGTGTATTTTGTTGACTTTTCACAAGGATACAAATCTTTTCTCATACTTGTTTTCATAGTAGACTATATTTTAGGACTTGTGTCTGATTGCTGACACCCAGAACTGCTAACTGTGGTAATAACAATTTTATTGTCAATCCTGATGTGTTTTGGGGATTCATCACTCCATCATTTTGATATTATTATTTATTATTAAGAGCTGTCACATGTAATGGAACCAGTAACTCCAGGCTTTAAATTATTTGTTGTTTGTTGAATCAACCATTTTTGACATTTGACCCACACGCACAGCATATTGTCAAAACATCTTTCTTTCACCTCAGAAATAATGCTAGACTATGCCCTATGTTATCACTAACTGTGGCTGAAAAGATGATCAACACATTTGTGTTGTCCAAATTGACTACTGTAATGCTCTACTCGCTGGGTCAACATTGACCAAACTCCAGTATGTCCAAAATTCTGACCAGGTCTAGTGCAAGGGTTCACATTACTCCTATCCTGGAGTCCTTGCACTGGCTTTCTGTCAAGGTTCATGTCAACTTCAAAATCCTCATGCTCACCTATAAGGCTCTGCATGGCTGGGCACCTCAGTACCTCTCTGAGCTATTATTGCCCTACTCCCCACCTCGCAACCTTCGCTCTTCTAATTCTGGTCTCCTAACTGTCCCCCAAGCTCGCCTACACTCCATGGGTGACAGGGCCTTCTCCTGTTAAGCCGCAAAGCTCTGTAACTCTCTTCCAAAGGATATCAGAGAGTCACCTTCTCTAAACTCCCAGTTAACTTTACTTAACTGGTTCCGTTCTTTACCACTCTGCTCCTACTGTATTTAGTACCACCATCTACACATTCTCATTGTGTTTATCTTCTGTATTTTTTATTGTTGTTGTTGCTGTTGTCTTTCTGTAAAGCACTTTGAGAAACCACCTTTGAAGGTGCTATATAAAATATATATCAATATAGTTTATTATTATTTATTTATTATTATTGTTTTGTTTTTTAACATTAGGTTTAAATGAAACACACTAAAGGTGAATGTGTTTGGCATTTCACCTAATGTTCTTTTCTTTTGGGGTTCACTTATACATTCTTAACAATCTGAAGACAGCAGAAAGGGAGCTGCTCAACAGAAAATTGGGTGAAGGCGAGCAAATGTTGGTCATATGAGATTAGAGGTTATTAGTTTGCATCTGTGTCATTTCACTAGTCACTGTAGCTATGAGATATAACAGGGGAAAGCATAATTACAGTCAAGTAAAATTTGAGCTTGTGAGGTTCAAAGTCAGTCAAGGTAACCTCAGCATTTTGTCAGGAAACTATACATGCTTGTAAGGCCTTCAAATGGTGTTGTCACAAGCCTCCTTCCAATTCCTTAGTTCTG